TTTAAAGGTAGGCTCAGTAAATGATTTTTAGAGTAATCAGTACATTTCAAGCTTGAAAAGACAAAACAGTCAAAGTTTGTCTTGGAGCTGGAATACTAATCCCTCAACCTCAGAAATTTGAAAATCGTGTCGTCTAAGATCAAGATGGAAATGTAGCTTTACAGATGATGGTAATAATTTTCCAGTGCATGCTTTCACAATCTCCATTATTATCACTATCACAAAGTAATATATAAGTGATGATTTATAAAATAAATCCCATTCACCTCCATCAAATAAAAAGCTCGCGAACACTTGTTTGCAAGATGCAGAGAATAATATATGAATACTGCAGTTATTTAAATAATCTTACTTTGTTTGTGGTAAGTTCAATGTAAGCGTATCCATAATGCCGTCACCAAATCGCAAGTAGCCAAAGAATCTGAAAATAACTAATTATTTGAAACTTCCTATAGAAATACTTCAAAATTACTCACCCTACAGTCATATACAGTATCAGTACCAAAAAACATGAAGTATTCAATACACCATTGTGAGTGATAAAATGCAATGGCTCATCCATTTGATTTTCTATAGGCAGTACCTGCATAAACATGGAAGTTCTTCAGAAAAACAAATGAAAAGTCGAACTATTAAACCTACCACAGCCACTCCTTCAAAGGCGAACATAACAGTGCCAAAAAATAAGGGTAATGTCGACCAATTTGCCACAGCGGGAAGGGACCAGGTTGGCCGTTCGATTTGAAAAAGTTGTTGAAGAACTATGCACACGGCTATGAGGTAGACAACGTTGGCAATGGCAGCAAGTGGTGCCAACGCCTAATTGAGGGTCTTAGCATCAATGTGGAATGGAATTTTATATGGTGCTCAACCAACCTTTAGCTCACGTATTGTACACAACGCCATGATTGGAACAAGTATCAAGGCGATCCATCCTGCTTGCGAGATGTGAATATTTGATGTTTGGTCAAAAAACTAGAAAAAAAGGATTTATTTTCAATAATAATTATTGCTTCTCACTTCAATTGCATTCAGAATTTGAAACACTTAAAATACATTAGAGCAAAGCTTCAATGCATACCGTTGGTAAATAAACTTTTTTTTTCGAAAAGAATACATTAGTCGCTGAATTCTTTCCGAATTCTTTCCGTTTGCCTAAATGAGCGCCAAGCATTCGTCATCATAATTGTCGTCAATACCCTCTTTAGCAATCTCACCCGTAAGCGAATGCTCTTTTGGTTTGTCTCACTGCTGCTCATTCGCTGTGAATATCTTCATGCTTAGCACAAGGTTATTAGCAACGTTCAGCATGAATTGTGATTCATCTACCTACCCATCGGTTGGCTAGGCTCCTCTTTCTCCTTCTTCCTCCTTATCATAAGCAAAAAATTACATTTGTCCATTGGGAAAAATATGGAAGAATTTCATCAAGAAAAGAACGAAATGGATAAATCTTGTGTATAAATTCTATATCACCACCACCTCTTTTCGCCAACTCTAATACGAGCTCAAGCTTAGGATCGTCACACGCTTAAACATGCGTATCAGGCGTTAATTAGATTAAACTAGATCCAGGTGTGAAGGTTTTTGTGTCACTTAGAGCCTAAAGTGAGCTAATGCTTAACTACCGCTAACTTTGTTCTAGTCACCGTTTATACTCCCTCATTCTCTCTTTCACATCCATATCCCGCATAACCTTACCTGCTTTAGATTGTCAGCCATGAAAACGAAATACACACAGCAGAAACCAAACTGTGCTAGGAACATATTTACATTGACCACTTGCCTAAAAATGGCAGCTTTAAGGAAATCAAT